TACAATAAATTATCAATATAGTATACCTAAAACGGCTATACCTAATAGTACCTACTAAGTTATGTGTACTTCAATTATTAAAACTAGAATTTAAATATTTATAGACACTATTGTATACCTAATAATTAGGTGATAATTAGGTTAGGCATAATAATGAGGTGATAATTATTATGTATTAGGTACCTATATTTTGTTATGTACCTATACTTTTAATGTGCAGGTATACCTAAACATAAATTTTTAACTGATCCCCCATTCAAACAAAAATGATAGGCTATCCAACGATTGAGAACACTTAAAATTAACAAAGAACTTACCGTTGACCAAAAAAAACCCTCAAAAAGAATACAATTAAGAACGAATGTAAGTGAAACGTATAATTGTTAGAAAATTTATTTGGCTATTGAAAGATTTAGTAATATATAAGTACTAAGTAGTATATAATATTCTTGAAAAAAGTCATAAATTAATAATTATAATCTTATACAATAGTATAATATTATTTGGCATTTGGCACCCATAATAATATGTAACATATAACATGAATAAAATATTATATAAAATAATATAATAATATAGAACTTATAAAAATATGTAATGTACAGAAGGATTTTTTAAACACGCTCAGATAAATTTATTCTGATTTTCAGAATTTTTAAATATACCTGAAGACCATATTTTCAAATTTCTGATAATTTTGTACTACTCAAGGAGTGCCCTGTGACGATACAAACTTTAATTTTTCAAATGAAAATCCCCCATTCCCAATTATTTAGAGGGCGATTCGTATAAAAATGTTGATGTATCTAAATAAATCTAGAATCTTAGGTGGTTCATCAATCAGCAATCTTCTTCAATAAAGTAGTACAGAAATATACAACTTAGGTACATTGTTATTTACTTATTACTTGTTATTTAGATACATCAACATTTTAATGCAAATCGCCCACTAAATATGGGGGAATGAGGGATTTTCATTAGAAAAATTAAAGTTTGTATCGTCTCAGGGCACTCCTTGAGTAGTATAAAACTATCGGAAATTTGAAAATATGGTCTTCAGGTATATTTAAAAATTCTAAAAATCAGAATAAATGGATGTAAGCGTGTTTAAAAAAGTGCTCTGCTGTACAGTAGGTTACAAGTGGGTCATTGTATAATGGATGGTATTAAATTTGAATTCAATGATATATTATCATTGTATAAAAAAACGATTCTGAGAGGAGACGGTATGTCAGTCTAGATTTAAGACATATTATATACATATCTATGATATTAAAAAAAAAATTTACCTATAAGAAATTCTAAATTAATCATATCACAATATCCATAAGGTACTTATAATGCGTTATACATCAACAACAAACCCTGATATACTATCATAGATATATAATAGGTAGTGTATTTTAGAAGTTTCAAATACCCACGAACAATATTATACAATCACAACAAAATAACTAAAATAGTTATTCTAGGTTTTTTAATATGTAATTTCGTCCAAATTTGAATTAAAATGACATTAAAAAAAAACTGTGCCTGTGTATTTTTTAGATTTTTTGGTAACAGAATTAACTACATACGTGGAATCTTTTTTTAAATTTTCAATCCTTAGCTATAAAAACTGAACATTTTATAAATTATTAATTACAATGATTGATAATTTATGAGATTTTGAAAAATTTTTTCGAACTTTAATTGCTTATAATAAAAATGTGTACCTATATATTTTTAATATTTTTAAATTGCTATTGTAACAATATATCAGGAGCATTGTATTAAAATTTTACACTTTTGGGCTCAATAGATAAAACTTTATTGATGTTTATAGAAAAAAAAACTAAAAAATTGAAAACTTTAAATGTCCGTAAACAGCTCAAAAAGAGTCAAAATATTTTCAAAATTGTATAGTGTATAGAAACTGCTATTATAAACATTCAGTGAAATTTTCATGTATCTATAATTATTCGATTTTGGAATAAATAAATCGCTACATGAGAAATCGAGTGAATATCTAATGTTGTAAAAATTTGAATTTCAAACGCTCATAAAAATTTAATTTGACTTTCTTATAGACATTTTTTTTTTTGATAAATGTAGATAATCTTATAAGGAATCTTGTATTACATTTTAAAATCTTAGATTTAAAAAGAAAAATGTTTACGAATTCTTAACTCAAAATAATTAGTTAATTTTCGTGATTTTTCCATATTTTGTCAAGTTTTGAACTTTAAATTCTTATAAAAAAAAAACAGTAACTAAGGATTTTTAATATTTTTCATCTGCCATTGAAACAATATACTAGGAGCCTTCTATTACATTTTCAAGTTTTTTTTAACCAACCAATTAAATTTTATTGATATTCATAAAAAAAAAACTAATAAAATTGGAAACTGAAAATGTGCCTAAACAGTTGAAAATACCTAAATCAAAATATTTTGAAAATGTTATCGTGTATAGAAAATGCAAATATAAACAACCAGTGAAAATTTCATGTATTTACGGTCATTTGTTTTAAAGTTACACCAAAAACCAAATTCGATTTTGCATAAAAATGCCCGTTTTTTCTTAATTTTTCTTGGCCTTTTGAAAATTACTGGGAATTTTTGACTTGCCTAATGCACCAACAATATTCACTTTCCAATCGAACAAGATACTGAAGTTGAAAATCGAACCATTATTTCGACTACTTATCGCTTACACAGGCACAAATAAAACTAAAAGTAAAAAATTAAAATAAAAAATAAAAAACACACATCATTGTAAAATCAATACATTCATCGTTTCACTCAGAATCTAAAAATGTATGATTTAATTAGGTTAGGTCATATTGTTCATAATATTATGTAGCAATGTAGGTATAATAGATACGAAACACCTAATTAATATTTAATTTTTCTTATTCCCGTTTCATAGACGTGCGTATCGACAAATGTAGAAGACAGGTTTCTCGTGGTTAGAAATCAAAATTTAAATCGTTAAAATGTTAAATGTATATTTTAAATCGAAAAAAGTACGTTTAAAATCTAATAAAAAAAACTTGATACAATTAAATCAACAATGTGCAACAGTAAATAAATAATTAAATTATAATATTAATATATTTTTTTTTTTTTGTAATTGAAATCAAAAAAAGCAAATAAGTACCTATTTATAAGTGAATTGTAATTAAAATTGAACATTTCTATTTTGATTTCAATTCCTGAATAAACCACAATGGCACAATACAACAATTGATAAATATGAATACCTTTATTAATTATAATACCACTTTGATAAGAGAACAAATTACTATTTTTACCATCATTCCATGTCATAATATGACCACTGACTGTATTATTATATTGCTTAGCTATTTTCTTAATGATTATTTAAAAACATGCAAACTCCTAGAAGTCCCTAGCCCTAATGACAACGTATTATATTGCTGGACGACTTCGATAGTGGCAGCTGATTATCGAGCTCAAATTATGGTTCGATTAAATTTGGCAACTTTGGAAAAAAAAAATAATATTATCGAGCGTTCTCAATCGTGTTACCAAAAACGATGTTCTCAATCGTATTTCACCGAAATTATGTTCAAGCCAGTGATCCGTAAAGCCCTGTTTCTTTATGTGACTTTTCAAGAATACCATAAAATTCATCATTATCTAAACATAATATAATATTGAACTTCATAGTTTTCTGTTCTATGTACCTGATGGAAAATTAATCAATGACTTCTCGCACCTATACTTTAGCAACGTCGTGGAGATTCAAACGTCTGCTGACTGCTGTATTTGTAACTTGTAGTCTAATGAATTCTTATTTTTTCAATGTGTACCTTACGGGTACTTAATTTGTTATTTTTTGTGATTTTCTTCATTATCTATGGACATTGATTTTGCACTTAAATTAATATTTGGTACAAAATTATAACTATTTTCAACTGCACTCGTATTATTAATTGTACTGCAATCTCACTAATAGGTACACGTTGAAACACTGCAACGCATAATATGAGGGGTGGAAATCCAAAAGGTACTATTGCCAAAATATTGATTTTTCAGGAGAAACGATTTTCTGTATCTAAACATTTCCAATAAAACAAACCATTTATGACCAGACCAAGCATTTTGTTTTTAATTATTTAATAATGTATTATTTATATTTAAAACGATTAAAATGTGATTAATATCCTAGAATTATATTTAAAACTTAATTAAATTTTTAAAATTAAATTTTAGTACATTTTGGAATAACATAGAGTAGTTTTCTACACTGTAAAGGGCGAAGAAACAAATAATTATTTTTATACATTAGATTAGATTTTCAATTTTTATTCATAGTTCTTTTCTTAACTTTTGAACATTTTAATTTTGTATTATATTTAGCAATTTGATTTTTATCATAAGATTAATACACATGCCTATTGCCTGCTTATAATTTAGGTAGACAATTTATCTAAATGTAAACCGCAAAATACAGGCGTAATATCGCCATTAAAATGCATATGACAGTCATAAAATTACTGTGTACCTAAGAGATTGAAAATTTTAAAATAATAGATTTTGAATCTATTTGATGTAGGTATGATAAATATCACAATTTTATATTTTTAAGACATATTTTATCTAGTTAATGAATTTTGATATTATATTCTTATTTTTTATCATAAAAATAAATTAAAAAATAAATTCACTGTGGAGTGGTTTCTACGCACCTATCATAAATATGACACTGAAACGTATTACTATTAATTTTACCAACAAACTTTTTGTAATATTGTTGAAAGAAAACTATTCAAAACATAAATTAAAGAATAATAATTGATGTTATCACACAATTAATGAAACTCATCACAACTCGAACATATCTTGAATTGAATGTAAAACCAAAACTACCATTAAAGTAATTTTAACTGGATATATATATTAAATACAATAATATGAACAAATAGAAAATGTTTATAATAAGAAACGTTGAACATAAAAAGTGAATAGTAATAGTATAAATTTGAAATTTTTTCAATGCAGTTGTTGGTTTACTTCACAATCTGGTTTGTTATTACCTGAAAAATAAATTATTCACATTATACTTAAACAATTTATGGGCTCAAGACACAATCAATTTTCTTAAGAGAACGTTGTACCGCATGTGTTCTCTCTAATGCATAATATATCAAAATGTACGCCCAGCACTTTCAATTTTGTGTTGTTAGCTTAAATATTATAGGGAATTGACCTATTGTTAAACTTAAATGTAAGAACATTATCTGTGTTCTCTGGTTGGTTTTTTATAATGTATTCATACTTTAAGTCAGTTATAAGTATGTAAAATATTAATATTTTAAAATGCTCATAATTCACTTAAAAATTTAAATATTGTGAAAAAACAAACGAGAAAACACTGGTACTGTTCTTAAATTTAAGTTTGATAATAGGTAAAATTAACTGTAATATTTTTCTCAAAAATGGAACTGCTGGACGTACATTTTGGTATATTATGCAGTAGTAAGACGGAGATAACATATTATGCGGGTATGACATCCTCTTAAGGTAATTTATCTTTGTCGTAAAGTGGGTAGTAATAACAAAATGTAAAACTTAATTATTAACTCAGTAAAATTATAGTTTTCTGTTTATATTTGTTTAATTACATAATCAAATAAATGTAATATAAAGACATACATGCATAAATATAAATTGTATTTTTATAAATGAGATTTTAACATAAAATTATTATATCTCGACAATTATGTACATGTATCTGAAGTATAAAAGTTGGTAAAGCTCACACAATTAAATTAGGAGGCCTGATTGTAGAATAAACTTTATAGTATGAATGATTATTTTAACATTGTCGGTTGAGAGCGAGTCGATAAGGGAAAAATTAATGCCACAGGTGGAAAAGAGAATCTTTAGCTGAGATCATTGGGTAGATAGAGATGGACAATTTACGAGAAGGTGATGTAAGTCACAGTACTCTCCACCACAGTTAGGAAAGGAGCAATACGTGCTACTGTTGAGTCCCAATTTAAACGAGTGGTGTGGTAGAATGCTGTGGTCCGTGCGTAGTCTGGTGAATTTAGTAATGGCAGTGCGGCTCAACTTTAGGGATTAAAACCATGGTTGATTATTGATGTTTTTAAATAATGACCTATAACCAAAGGCATAGGACTCTGGAAGGGAATTCCATTCCAGTTTCCATAGCTCCTGTATGGATGTACGATGTCTAGAGACTAAATCTGTATAGGGACACCTGCACAGAGGGCTCGAGTAAGACTGGTTGGCGGTGAAGCCAGCTAATGAATCGACGTGCTCATTACCAATTATGCCTATATGCCCTGGAGCCCATAGGAAGGAAATGGAGAATGACCTGATTTTGAGGGATAGTAGTAATGCGCGAATTTTTAAAATTATGGGGGAGCACTAGAAGGGGTTACTAGCGATTGCTAAAATACTAGCTTGAGAATCAGAGACAATAAGGAAATCTCCGCAAGAGAGACAACTTATGCATGTGAGAGCTTCTAGGATAGCCCATGATTCAGCCGTGAATGAAGAGTCAAAAGCAGACAGGTTGGAGGATGACTGTATAAGTAATTCTGGGAAATAGTAAGCAAAGGCCGCTCCTGCTTGTGTGACTGACCCATCCGTGAATACCAAGGTACTCAAATTAAAGTTTTCAGAAATAAACTGTCTGAATAGATTGTTAATTATGCTTAGGGGCATAAGTCGTAAATCATTAGGAATAAATTGTATTAATAATTTTTAATTTTATTATAATATACTTACTGTTTTCAGATTCTTCGCTCTCATTAGTGAGTATATAAGGTTGAGAAATCGGAACAGTTGTAATGACTGCGATCAGTTCGTCATTTTGATCATCCCTTTAAAAGAAAAATGTTTGAATTGAAATATTATACTTATTTTTATGTAAAAATATTTAAATATATAAATATATTTACTCGACATGCTGAGTATGATTGACAAAATTCTGTACATCCATTACTGAGTTTTGATTGACACTTCGATAAAGACTAGACAAAAAGGGTGATCGAGTATTCAAATCTGCATGTTTTAGTTCCAAAGGAGACATAATGTCCGGAGTAATTGATCGAGTTACTTCTGATAAATCTGATGAGGCATCTGTTAATTGAGAGACTGAACAAACATTATTTGTAATTTATTGTATCTTATTATGACTGTTATTTATTACCATGGTCTTGCATTTTAATTTGTCTGCTATTGTGATGTTGAAGCAAGTCATTGGACATTTGGGGTAAAAACGTATTTACTTTAGTCCAAGTAGCATCCCAGAAAGTTTGTTTGCTATGCAATTCTTCTTTACTGTTTGTTTTTCCGTTTAACATCACTAATAACATATTTTTCAATGTTTCTGGTATTGCTTCACTCTGATGATAACAATACGCAAAAGTTAACAGATAAAAACAATTTAATGCAAATCACGATATGTAAAAAGTATTAGTGATTAATTAATTTTATACCAGAGTGTCACTATTGTCAGATATCATAAACTTGTGCATCAGTTCCAGAACAGTGATCCATAAGTCAACAAATGTTGGTAGTGATTGAAGTTGAGTCAAATGGTGTAAGAAAACCTATGACAATATTTATAATTTACATTCAATTAGTGTATTTTTTGATTTATTAAAGTAAAAAAACCATATAAGTAATTTAAATTCATTATTCAACTCTTAGTAACTAAAATATTAACTTAATATTTTTTGTATATAAAAATAAACTCCTTTCCAGCTGTTAAAACTCACATATTTTATTATAAATTTAAAATTCATGAAATTTGGAATTAATTTGTTCAATTCCATTAAAAACTGCATTCAGTAGTGTAATTTTAGGGGTGGGGTCAAGGCGGGCATTTACCCTTGCGTAAAAGCAGTCCAATATTGTGAGGTAAGTTGTTTGTGAAACAATATAACTATAATTTTTCAAATTTTGAGGAAATAATATAATATTGTGTAAGCACAAAAAATCTATGTGACAATAATAATTATAGATAACAAAATTTAAATTTTAAATTTTATTTATCCATGATTTCAAAAAATTCTCAACAATAGACGGAAAATATTTAAAAGGTTATTTATTAGAAGATTATATTATTTATTTAAAGATTACTTATTTTTAGATTTTTCAATTACATTTTAGTAGTCGTATTTCAAATTGTAATTGAAGTTGTTCGACCACTTTAACAAAAATATAAAAATATAAAAATTCTAATTTTGTAGTTCATATTAATTTTTTTCGTGCATATTTGAACACTAGAGCATATTTAATATTTTTATTTGGTTAATTTTCAATGCATACAAATCTGTGTTCTAATAATAATTATTATGAAACTATTAATTCAACTTATTAATTAATAATAAGTTATTATTATTATTATTAACAACCTTTGATAACAAAGTGGCAGACCGCATTTTCGTTTCATCTAAACCGCTTGGATCAATATCGGTTGCACATTCTAACAGTTTGTTCATCAATGGAAACAAGACTTTGCGGAAACAAGCTTCCCATTCATCACCGTTGAGTGTAGCTAAGTCGTGCATTAAAAGGGCACGTTGTAGGTATGTCACAGCACTCATCCTCACCTGCGTACAATTACAAATATTATTTTACATACTGAAATTGGGAATATGATTTACTTACATCACGTCGGCAATCGCAACACAGACTGGCTATACCTTGGAGTAATGGACACCACCCATAACTCCACAAAGATATAAGTTCTGTGTCTGGATTTTCTTCTGACCACCAACGATATATATCTGCAGTGCTCGTGTGCAATGTGTGCATAAGATCAAGAAGCTGAAAACATTCAAACAATTTGTGAATAATTATAATATACATTAAAAAGAGAATGAAGAAATTACTTGAATAGAAACTTGAGTGTAACTACTTGGAATGTCTTCAGGGTCACTATCGTCTGCATCATATGGATTAGACAATTTATTTTTGTTTGATTTCAAATTGGTTTTTGTTTTGTTGCCCAATTTTTGGCGTACATTTTTATCTTCTAAAATAAATTAACTTGAGCATGGATTTTTAAAAAAAAAGTGTTAAGAGGACACTGCACAGATATTTGTTGTCTCCGTCTCACAAGTGCATAACATAGCAAATTTACTTTAAGCAGATCACGTTTAACTACGTTAGTTTAAAAATTAGAGTGAATTGACCTATTATGAAATTTGAAGGTAAGAAAGTTTGTTTTTTACAATAACTCAATTTTTAAGTGAGTTATGAGTATTTTTAATTTATACACGCTATATTATACACGCATAACTTACTAAAAAATTGAACTATTGTAAAAACCCACACACAAACACAGATACTGTTATACACATCAAGTTTCACAATAGGTTGATTTACACTAATTTTTAAACTAAGGCAGCTAAACATGATCTGCTGAGTGTCAATTTGCTATGTTACACACTTGTAAGACGGAGACAACAAATGGCTGTGTAGCATCCTCTTATAAATGCATCATACTTGATTGTAAACTGGCACGAGCGAAATTTTTTATGACTGAGACACATTTGATAAAGTTGTATGGTGTAATATGTGCAATGTTACGCACTAAAAACGCCAGACACTCACAGCATTTAACAAAAGATAATGGGTCATGACGTTTAAATGTTGAACAATCTGGCCAGATTTCTAGCGCCCCTGGGTTTGTTTCAATCTACATGTACAAAAATATTTGCTTATTAAATGAATTTATTGTTAAACATAGGGTGAAATTTATTTACCTTTAACCAATCTGATTTGTTATCTGGAGGTGATGACGAAGGGGTCGAGGCATTATTAACTGATTTTACGTCTAAGCCACTGTCATCATTACTATCACTTACACTTGTTACTTCATTATCAGACCGATTATCTATTAAATATTAAAACTTTGTCAGTAATATGTTTAAATTTGTAAGATTCTATGGAAACGAATGAATTTATTTTTGAATTGATAAACATACCTATATTATTGCTTTTAGATACAACAATTCCAGCTCCGACATACTCTAAAATAGAAAAGATTAATGTCCAATCATCTCTGGTGTGAATATTTGCGGCACACATTTTTAATAATTCATACATTCCAAATGCTATTTGACGGCCAACTATTTGTAAAGCATCTTTGTTGAGCAATAGTAAAACATTTAATGACTGCAATACCTAAAAAATACAATGTACAAAAACAAAATAGCAAATAAAATATACAAAGTTTAAAATAATTAGTTTAAATTAGTTTAAAATAACTATTAAGTATAAAATATATTTTACCATTGAACTTATTTCTTCGCGTCTCATAAGGCGAGATGCTAATCTCATTAGTCCAACAACAGTGCGTTCCAAAAGAAACATGTGATTATGTTCAATAGCACCTGTTATAAGGTTGTACAGGTGTTGTTTAACTGCATCCCATAGGGTGTTCACTCTATCCCTGTGGTAGTTACATTTAATTTAGTATTGGATATAATGATGCATTATGTAAAAGCTTACCGATTTTGTAAAACTATTTTGAGAAGCATTTCTAATAGGAAACTAGCAGCATTTTCACTTTCCCGTGACCCAAGTGCTAATACACCCTCTGGCTTATAAAATGTTCCAATTAATGCCTAAAGAATAAAAATGTTTATGTTATATAATTTATTGATATTTATAGACATACAACACACATACTTTTACTAAAGCTTCCAAAGATTCTATAGTGAGAAACTTAGATTCTGTAATTAGACTTTCCAAGCGACTCTCAGATATACAGTCTCTAGATGTAATAATTAACTCAGGTTCATTTGATGTCTGTATTTTATGATTAATTGTCTCTAAATTTGTAAAAATTGTAAATTTAAAATTATATTTTTTTAACTTAAAATGTATATGCTTTTTATGCTATATATTTTATACTTACCACCTCCAGAAGCTATGTAAGAGTAAAGTGAACTGAACAGTCCAGATTCTGATTTTTGTGAACCTGAAGGCACTGTTTCACGTATCAATGAAACTTTACCACTGAGCTCAAGAAAATCTTCAGACTAAAAAAATACACTAAATTATATACATTATATTATAATTTCATTTAAAGAGTTTAGGAAAATTACCTCGACTAATATGGTAGGTAATAGTTTGCATTTATACAGTTGTAAGATTATGTCGAATATACTAGACCAACCCTCACGAATAATATCACCATACATATGGGTCAGACTAAAAAGAGTACGAGTAGCCAGTCGAGATTTAGGGTTACTTCCAAACAGTATTGTAACATTTTCTGGACACTAAATTGACAGGATCATAAATAAAACAATGAATGAATTTGAATTTAACATTTGTAAACTAAAAATTAAGAATACAATTTATAGTGTTTTCGATTTGACAATTTTTATAAATGCACCAAGTTGTTATACCAATCTATGAGTGTTGCACTAGGTCTGCACAAATTTTAATAATACAAATACCAACAAAATTTAACTTCATAATAGAGTAATGGAGTTCATAATAGTATGAGAATTCACTTAATCGACATTGCAGAAAGTGAGCACTGAGTGTACAAGAGTGTAGTCAGTGCATTTAAATTGAATACAGAATACAATACTGCGCCAGTTCACTGAATACTGGTCAAATCAAATACATTTGTGCACTCAATGCAAAAAAGTGAGTCAAATCGAAAACACTATTAGTTCTATTCAGATTTTAAAATCCTTTTAAACTTTTAGACATTTTTTTTTGCAAAATGTTTCTAAATAACTAATATTGATAAAATATTTGAATACTATACACACATCTGGGTTGTTCTGTAAATTAGTAAACTTGCACAATGATATGATAAGGCTATCAAATTCAGCACACATTCCATAATGGGCACAAATAAATGCACATTTTCTGAAAGATTGGTTATGAGAATAAGTTACAGTAGTTATGTGCATTATGACTTATATCTATTTAAATGAGTTAAAAAGAAAGTTATAAATAATTATTTTTATAAGCAAAAATTACCTAAGACCAAATATTGTTCTAGTATAAACGGTTTGATGAATCGACTTATCAAATATAAAGCTTAATGCAGCTAAAGTAGGACCCCAACAAATAGAAAATAGTTCATGGTCAAAAACTCCACTCGGTGCTTGTATGTAAGATCCATCTTTACCGGATGCACGTCGTAACAAAACTTTCCATAAATAGTTTTCTAAAACAGCACCAGTATGTTCTGCAGGCATAACAATTTCATTTGATCTAAAAATGTTCATTAGATTAGTTGTTGGTATGATCAAAGAACAAATGTACAATACATCTTTGTTATCGCCTTTCCACCTAGCTATATAAACGTATGTTCCACCACCGTATGTCAGCAGTCTTTACTCTTTAATCTTATAGTTTGTTATTTCTTATTTATATACAATATTTATATCTCAATAGGTTAATCTAACCTGTGTCCTATTTATGGATAATGGGTAAATAATTCTCAATTTTTATGAAATTTAAAATTTTATTTTATTTTAATAATTGTGTTGGTATCTTATTGGCCTGTTGCTATATTGTGTGTGTAGTTACTAGTTTCAAGTAACTAGGCGCAACCCACACCTCTCAGTATAATAACAATGTCTGGCGGTCATAAAAAACCCCTACTATGTTTAACATTTATACCAACGATCAACCAATATACACAGATAGCGACGTAAAACATTATATTTACGCAGACGACACAGCAATCGCCGTACAACACGATCAGTTTGAAAATGTAGAGGAAAAACTATTGACTACTTTGGACATTCTTGGAAAATACTATAGACGCAATTACCTAAAACCCAATCCAAGCAAAACACAAATATGTGCTTTCTACCTAAGGAATCGATGTGCCAACCGTATCCTTAACGTCTACTGGAATGAGACGAAAATCACTAATACACAGTGTCCAAAATATCTCGGAATAACACTAGACCGATCTCTCATCTACAGATTCCATTGCGAAAACATCAAACATAAAATAATGACAAGAAATGGCATATTGCGGAAGCTCAGTGGCTCCACATGGGGCTGTAATCCCCAAGTCCTAAGAACTACGGCATTAGCCTTATGTTTTTCAGCGGGAGAGTATGCCAGTCCAGTATGGGGTAGATCATCACATACTAAAAAGGTCGATGTTGCACTAAAAGAGTCCTGCCGACACATAACTGGTTGCCTAAACAACACACCGGTAGAACAATTATATATACTTTCAGGAATAGCCCCTCTGCCAATAAGAAGATCCACGCAAGCAGACTGGGAGAGAATGAAAATAACAGCAGATCCACGACACCCTATGTATGGCATAACTCCACAACTCCCTCGCCTTAAATCCAGGAAGAGTTCCATGAACCATACAAAAGCCATCTCGTCAACAAATCCTGAAGTAGAAAGAACGACCAGATGGAGAAATGAGATAAGCAGTACCCCCAGCTGGGTGCCGAACAAGTCGCTCCCATCTGGTCATAATGAAACATGGCCGGTTTGGCGAACACTAAATCGACTCAGGACAGGAATTGGACGAACAAAAGACAATCTAATAAAATGGGGACTGCTAGATAGCACAGACACCTTGCGCATATGTGGAGAAGTACAGACAATGCAACACATTATCACATGCACAGCTTGTTCCCAAACCTGCACCCCAGAAGACATTCACAAAGGCACAAGCCAAGGAATTAACGTAGCCCGCATCTGGGCAGAAATAATATAAATCTACCAATAACGTACCTTTTTTTATCTACTTTACCTTATTTATTTAATACTATGTCTATTTAAAAGTTAATTTAATTTATTTATTTGTTTATTTTATTTTATACTATACAACTTATATCATTATTATTATTATTACTGTTATATTATGCGCCTGACACGAATAAAAAAAAACTAGTTTCAAGTGCGTACCTATCTTACAAATTATATAAAATTATTTTAAAATATTGTTTGAAATTAATTTTGAAGAGTTCTTCACTGTAATATTTAATACTGGCAATCAATGTTGTTTACAATAAAAAAGCACAAAATTAAATCCGTGACAAGGAAAAATTACAAATAAGAATCTATAGGAAATCATCTTATTTTCTTGTGTTTATTTACGTGTGATTATCAAATATTAATTATTAAACTGTATAATTTAATTATTATGTTATTTATTGAAGTATAATTCGTTACAGTACACAAAAAATTATCTGAATACATTGAACGTAGTAAAATAGTAAAATAATTGTTTTAGACGTTTGGTATCACTCCTGATGGTGCGGTAATATATTTTATAAGGTGTAATAGTAGGGCGATAACAAAAACTTAAAGTAGCTATTATTAACTAAATAAATTGTTAATTAGTTTACTTGATTTCTTTATATATTTCTTCTAACATTGGGTGATCAAAATCTTCGCCACCATTCAATTTTTTTAAATTGCGTTTAAATGAATCTGTTGTCATTGGTTGATCTATCCGTCTTACATTTTGATTGTGTTGGTCGACATTTAGCATAATAATTGCATATGCTAATAAAAAAGCACATTCTGCATTTGCAAAAGGTTCTCCATTACATTTCTAGAATTCATACAAACAAAATAAATTTGAAAATACTATTTAATGATAAGTATTAATAACTACTAACATGCCAATATTCTGTAAATGGTTCTAATACAAATGATATTAGAGGAGATTCTCCAGGTAGTCGAAATGCTTCAAGATACATTCGAAGTGCTTCATCAACACGTGTACCACATAAATCAAAAGAACTAAACAAAACAACAACAAATTATAAAATACAAGCCATGAAATTATAAAATTATAAATTATAATTAGGGAACAGATTTTAATTTAAATAAATTTAATAAATTTGTATGTAGTTGTAAGACCGTTAAGTTTTTGACATATGTGTACGTTTCGTTTTATGTCAGATGGGTTTATGCTAATTTTATATTAAAAATGTTACTAATAAATATTAAACATACTTATTCTGTATTAATGTAGGATTTCCATTTTTATTTTAGTATTTTACGATGTACGACACTATACAATAAGGTCTGTAATCTGTACACATTTTGGCATCAAACAACAATTTAATATCTTATATAGGTAGTAGGTATTAGATATAAGGTACTTGGTATAAATTTCAGTACCTAAACACTAATATATGCGTATTTGCTTTTCAATCACATTATGTTCGTGTTATGTCCGTTTGTGTAGTAAGTATCCATATTTTTATTTCATAATAAAATAATAATTTTAATTAAGTCACTTGCACAAAAAGATCAAATGTTGGTCTTTATTTGCAAGAATTTTCAAACTAAACTTTTAGATGTGATGGATAAGTTTTATATTGTCAATGTTTTGAAAAATCGGAATTTATCGACCAACATTGTGCAAGTTAGTTAGCTTCAGGGAGAAGGGGTGAAATTGGGAAAAGTGGACTGACCAATCTCAAGTAGACATAATAAAGAATTCAAATCTGTTTTAAAAAGTATTATCACATTACTAGATCGATCAGTATAATGGAATGAAAATTGGATGTTTTGGCTAAAATAACTGCTTAATATATTATAAAAAATAGTATTTTGTCAGGAACGTTTTTTCCCTACAAGCCCCACATTGTGCCATAAAAAACTTTGTTTCAAAATTCAATAAATCATTGGAAATGGGCCTATTTGGGTTGGAATAATTGAGCACTGAACCATCTAAACCATTTTTGTTATGTTGTGGAGAATATATGCAACCACAAAACTATATGCCAATTATTTAATAATTAAATGGGTGTTTTGTGGCCTTATGATATAATACACAATAATGTTCTTTTATTTTTAATGGAAGTCGCACTTTGAGTAAAGCGGGAAAAGTGTTAGACGCATTTTATCCAAGAATTTTTCATTTAACTTTTCTATTACGTTCATTCTATTGTGCGGCAGAAACAATTAGATTTCAATTTTCTGAGGTTGATTCATTAATTTCCAACCTTTGAATTTTTTTTAAAAAGTTTCAAGTTATGTACCAATATATGCTATGTAACACTACCTCCCAAGCCTATTATTACTCAGTGGCTATCAGCTGTTTTATATTATTTGAATGACTTTGAAAAGATTGAACGTTGTTTTAAATTTAGATTCTGATACTGCTATAGAAATAAAAAAAACAATTGAACTCATTTAAAATAAAAACTTCCGAAACAATTTAGCATTCATTTTTGTTAATTTTGGATTTTTAGTTGAATTTTATTTCAAAACTAGAAACTACTAAAAATACCATTAACAAAGTCAAGAAATAATTGATAATACCATAAAGCAATAATTGAAAAGTGTACCTGGAGAAATTGGAATTAAAACTAATACGAAATTACATAACATATAGGAAAAAAACAGGATTTAACGCTGTAATGACGATAAGGGATATACTCTTAAACAAAACCCCAAAAAACAATTCAGAAATCAAATACAATACAAAAGAATTATCGTTATGAAATATGCATGTATCACTACTGGTTATGTGGAGAAATCATCATTCAATCGTTAAAAAACAATGTTAAAATCGCATTTTTAAATTTTTAAATTTCAAATTATATGTTGTTTCTAACTATTTCTAAGACTATTTGGAAGATTCAAAAAAAAAAATTTTACTTTATATTATGTATATTAAATTCTCTTATTTTCAATTTAAATATTTAAATATTGTAAATAAATATTTATCAACTAATAAAAAAAAATATATTTAAATATTTTTAATTTGATACTTAATTAATATCTGTTCCCTAACTATACTATTAAAATTTAAAACATACTTGATAAAACTATTTAGAACATCCACGTTGTTTCTGTTGCTTATATACTCCCCGATCATTTTTTTATCCAAAAGAGGATTTTCCTTCAAAAATGTAGCAATCTCAATTGGATTCAATGGTGTTGATAAAAGACCGTGTTCTTGTAAAAACTCTATACCTTTCTTTGGTTTTGTATTGAATTTCTCTGTACCCGAAGTAAGTAGCTAAAATTATTAAGACAATTATTATTCATTAATAATAATTCAAAAATAAACTGCTATAGGTCAGTTTTATTTAGAGTACTATAATTTACAACTGTAAACAAAAACATAAATAAATTATTTAACCTTTTTCTTTCTTTTTATGGCCATTAATTCTTCATGACTAGGAATATTAATTGAGAAGTCGGGTTGCCAACGATCTAAGTTAATTTCAGATTCTGATTTTTGATCTTCAGATACTAAATACATTTTAGTTATAATATTAAGAACATAACTAAATTATAGTTATAAATTATACCATCATATGTTGAACTGCTTTCTGACTTTTGAGTGAATTGCGTACGATTATGACAATGACGTTCAATTGAATCAACCACGGCCAAAAGAGCATCCATTGATAGTAAATGAGTGCTGTAGATATCATTGAATGGAAAAACATTCTATAATCAATAGTTATTATGAAATATAAAAAAAATAAATAAACATGTAATTTTATTTTATTATTAACTTGCTTTAGATAATAATTTAGTAATATCATCATACAAATCTGAACAATACAGTCCACAATCATAATTTAAATAAAGTTCCGTGACCAATCCGGGAATTTTCCATAGTTGGACAAGACATTCTAGATAAATAATACAAAATTAATTTCTAAACATTCAATTGTTTGTAGTAATATTTGAATTTGATTATAATGATATACATACTTAGTGCCATTTCTTTTTTACCATATGGAATTTTAGAATTTTCATTAACCACTATGTTTATTAAATTGGTCAAATAGTATTCCAGTTGAAATTTTAAATGTTGACGCATAGATTCAAACACTAAGAAAGCAAGTCTAAGACTTGAACTGAATATTGGCATTTTCTCATGAGACAAGAGCTAAAAAAAAATATAAATTGTTTTAACTATTATATATTATAATAAAGAAAATATAAAATTGTCTTTGATTTGTTCACACACAGAAAGAATATTACGACATAGTTGGTCTTTTATAATGGAATGCATGTTAACGTGGCATTTAATGGCATATGCTCCAACTTCAAAAGCAATGACCAAAAGATTGAGCCCAACACCAATCATTACTTCAGTATTTTGCTGATCATGTGGATCACAAGCATCTACAAGAAACTTAATAAGCTCCAAAACACAGCCACTATTGTATGGAACTTCTAAAAATTATAAGTCAAGTATTACTAATATGTAGAGTTAACTACAACATTAAAGTGGTAGAAAAAAATCACTTACTAGTGTAAGGTATAGGTATTTGGGTCGTAAATCTTACTCCTTGACCATTCACGTATTCTTTATTATCATCATCTACTGGTGTCTCATTGATTGAATCTGGGTCAGTTTCTTTAAAATCAATAACTTATTATTTTTATTATTTGTAAGAAAATATATAATAATAGCTTACCATTGTTTAGTAATGGTAATTCATCAGTCGGTAATTCTTTACCAGGCAAGGTTTCTTTTTCATTGTCTATGTCTAGTTTTGATGTTTCAATCAGGACATTCGCATCACACTAATATTTCAAACACAATAGTTATAATTAAATTTACCATGGGAATTCTATAACAATATATGATTCAGAATATTTAAATAATCAAAAGTTAATGGTCAGACAGATTTTTAAAATGTTATTTAATGAAAATATATAAATTATATTTATTAAGTTTGGACATGTTATTATTTTCACCGCGTCAAATAATTAGTTGAGACACGTTAGATGCGTCACAAAATATATCGATGTTCGGTAGGAGCGTGCCACCAATTTGGACATTTTAATTAGTGTTGGAAAAATCAACAAAATAAGTTATTTATAAATGGATTGGACTGAAATAAAAAGAAATTTCTATGCATAGGCGTGTATAAAAATAAAACATTACTCTAGTGCGTCTCTATTTTATAACACATTTAATTCAACGGACTTGATGTCGGCTATATCCGGCAGGCGCACATACCGTTCACATACCTACAAGTCGGCTATATCCGACAAACGCACCATGAAAAAACCGGTCCGTCAAATATAGCTGACAAACGCAACGAATGTGTTAAATTATTATCCCTTAAGACTTAAAAATACCAATGTACCACTGTATTAAGAACTCATTAAATTATATTTAGATCACACGTTAATATTTGGTTAATCTGATTACTTTAAGAGGACGTTACACACACACTTGTTGTCTCCTTATTACAAGTGTGTAACATAGCAAATTTACGCTCAGTAGATAATATTTAGTTTTGTTAGTTTAAAAACTAGTGTGAATCGAAACTATGAAACTTGACGGTATGAACATTATCTGTGTTTATATGTGTGATTTTTAGAATAGTTCAATTTTTTAGCAAGTTTGGCATACATAATACAGCGCAAATTAAAAACTGAATCATTGTAAAAATTGAGGAATCGTAAAAATTCCACGAACAAACACAGACAATTGAGTCTTGCCATTAAGTTTAATAATATGTTGATTCACTCTAATTTTTAAACTAACATAACTAAATGTGATCTGCTGAGAGTAAATTTGCTATGGTCTGCACTTGTAAGACTGAGACAATAAATGCGTATGTAGCGTTCTCTTGAAGAGTTATATTAATTTACTTGAGGTAAAGTTGATTCTTCAGGTAGTGGTGTTTCATTGCTTGAATTAACTGTATCTACTGTATTTTCCACATTATCATTACAATTACTTAGAGGGTCACCATAATTCTTCATGTTGAGTCCTAATACCTGAGGAAGTACATCATTCATAAAAAGTTATATTTTTTTTAAATATCTCATACTATTGAATTTCATTTAATTAAGTTTAACTGACTTTTGAAGAATTTCCCAGTTCTTTACTTAATGTAACTAATCTTGAAAAAAGAAGTTGAATAATATCTTTCAAGCAATGTTCAGCATAGGATCGTACAAATTCTGCAAACATATACAATTTACATGAAATAATTATTCATTGAACATAGTATATAACATACCACTTAGTCTAACTTCAAAACAAAAACGAAAACAGCTCATCATAATCTCACAAACACTTTCATTTGGAAGAAATTCGCCTTCGGGCGACATCATTAAGCAATATAAAACTTGTAAAGTTTTCATTAATACTATAGCATCACTAGTTTTTTCAGTTCCCAAAAATCTAGTGTGAGTAATTGCATCTGCAATATTTTCTACAGTCGTCAATAACTTTGACTCAGGAACACCTAAACAAAAGTATATTATGATTGAATAAAGTTTACTAAATCATCTTGTGTAGTTCCAACTTACATTTTTTTATTAGTCCATAATTTATAAACTTATAGATTGACATCAATGCTAAACTTGTTACTGGGCCAGTAATCTCTTCACACCGTATTACATCCAAAAATGGTTCTAAACACAAAATTTAAACTATAATTATCTATTTAACTAAATACTTAATACAGTAAAACCTGTATAATTAGTAAACAGTAGGAATCAGATATTATTTTTTCCAATTTAACCAGGTTTACAAAAAAAAAAAAAAAAATATTATGTATTTAGTAAATAGGTTACCCATAACATGATCAAAATTGAGGGACATTAAATCTTCCACTTGATTAATAGCATCTCTTAATTTGAACAATCTTTTACATGGAGAATACCTTTCTTCATCCTGCAGATTAAATACTAATTAATTACCTAATTGAAAATATTAAATATTAAGGTACGTAATGGCAATCAGCAGGGCTCGTAAGTTCATGCATCTGCATGTTTTCTTTGCTACACATAAAAACATGCTAACTGTGATACAAATCCGTTTCAATAGTAATAATAAAATGAAGTTTAATAGTGCATGTTTTTGTATATTTTGGGTGTAAAGGCATATTTGGCATATAATCAATATTTTACAGTCGTTAGTACATATTATTTCATAAAAATATTTGAAAAGTTTCTTGTTTCTTATTTACTTTCCCGTTTACAAAATTATAGTGTTTTGATTTATTTTTATTCTAGTGTGAGTGTGTGACTACCTAGTGTAGTACATACTACTAGTACATACCTAGTACATACCTCCTAGTACATACCTATTTAGATTTTAGCGTTTTACGTAGTACAGTAGAATCAATGTAATGGCTATCACTACCATCCTCCACCGTACAAAGTATATAGTCAAAACAAACCTATACAGGCATGTACAGGCGTGCAGCTTTTCACATAATTTTGTACATTGGTACAAACATTTTTTCTCAAAAATTTATTGGAAGACAATCACCGATCTTTTATTTTTTAAGTTGGAAAACATGAAAAAAAACATTAATAGTACAGTGTAAAATCTAAAGTAAATGTATTTTTTATAAATATAATATTAAAATGTCTCAAAATTAAATACCTAATATTTCATTCCATATATTTTCATTGTAGGTGCAGGATAAGGATGTACACAAATGAGACAAGAAATGACTGCCTAATAAATTACGATTTATAACGATAACTAAGCTATTTGAAATTTTGAACTTCACAAGTATAAATGTTATTTTTTATCTTATTAATTTGACTGTTAAATACATACAAATTAAAAGGAATAAAATACTTTAAAAATGTATGGTCTTATTCTTATTATTTTAAAATTTGCTCATGATTCTTTTACATAATGCATATTTTGAGTGCATAATTTAAAAATGTTAGTGCATATAAATGCATATTTTTGAACTTTTTAGTGCATATTTTGACAATTTTTAGTACATGAATGCGTGCTTGTTTATGCATTTTTTAGTGCATGAAGTTACGAGCCCTGGCAATCAGCATTTGATTTTCAGCAATAAATTTTTGTTTACATTATAATTAAATATGTTATTATGTGGTCGGGTTAAATATATTTTAAATATCAAAATAATGTGTAATTTGTAGTAGGTATTACTTATTATTTAGTTATAAATGAAACAAACAACATTAACTGCTTATTGATTCACAAATTACATTTTTAAGTACTTTTAAAAATTAAAACTAGATCAATATTTTATTATAAAATAGTAGGTACCCATAATTGTATATTACGAATACAGTGAATTAATTAATGATTTTAAAACAAATCATTGAGAATTGTATAATACTATGAAGCAATAATTTCTCCATAGTATTATTAAATGCTTAAAAGTGTTACCATAGAAACCATACTAATAACCAGTGGCGTGGTGAACATTTATAAACCTTGATGCCCAGCATATATTTCAGTACCTACCCCTTCTTTATCTCCTTAATATAATATATAATACATATAATTACTATGGAACTGTAAATATTTTTATTTTTTGTTGTATGTTATTGGTTACCATAATGTACCCAACCACCCCACCCCAAAAAAAAAGAATTCACCATGACGCCTAGGCGTCATAAAACCCCATTCACCACGCCACTGCTAATAACTAATAGTAATAAGTAGTAAGTAATAACATGTAATACAAAAAGATACATTTTTGTTAAATGACGCACTATCTTACTATCTGGCAGTAAATCAAGTAAAACTATAATTAAATACATTCATATGGTCAGAAAATACTATACACTAAAAATATAATTTGATAGTAGCAACTTAACTACAAAGCATTACCTATGGAATATGTATTTATTATAACATAATGTTATTAGGTAACAGATTGTATACTGTGTACCTATATAATACATCCACAAAAACTAGGTTGCAATTTTAAATGTAAGAATAAACTCTCTTAAGAGGACACTACACAGATATTTGTTGTCTTCGTCTTACAAGTGCATATCATAGCAAACTTAAGCTCAGCAGATTGTGTTTAACTCAGTTAGTTTAAAAATTAGAGGGAATCTGCCTATTACGAAATTTGATTGTAAGAACATTATCTGTGTTTGTGTGTTTCAATAATACTTCAATTTCTTAGCAAGTTATGCATTATATAATATAGAGTAAATTAAAAATGCTCTTTAACTCACTTAAAACTAAGTTATTGTAAAAAAACCCACATACATACACAGATAATGTACTTACCATCAAGTTTCATTATAGGTCGATTCACTATAATTTTTTAACTCAAAGAGCTTAACGCGTTCTCCTGATCGTAAATTTGCATAACAAACTTGTAAGACGAGGACAAAAAATGGCTGTAACGCGTCCTCTTAAACGGAATATTTTAAATAATAAAATAATTATGATTTACTTGATACGAATTGTGATCTCTTTTTAACGCCGATATTAAAGTCGACAGCTCTCCCTGCACGACATACAGACCGTTGGCCGCATACATCTTAAAATGTAAAAAGTACACATTTAGTAATTATTTTTTGAAATCTCTCATAACGTTCATGTTTGCACTTACCTTCAAGTTGTTTGAACGTTCACTTTTCACTCTTGAAACGACATTTTATTGTATTAATAATGTCTTACGAGACATAAATTGGCCGAATTGTGAGCGATCATGTTGCCTTAACAGTCACCGATTAATTGGTAAAAAATTAATACTTTACAACTGCAATAACGTCGTATCGTGTTGGTTAAATTTTAGATTAGCAAACGACTGTTTGACCAAGTAATCCTACCAAATAGCGAACGCCGAAAAGTAAATCCATTTGACATTTCGACGTAGTCATTAAGTATTTAACCATTGAGTAATAGTATCAACTAACAATTATCGAATTGATAACACGTCAAACATGATAACACGTACTGTAAATATTATACCTAGGAGTTTCAATAACGATTACGTCGTCGTGTTTATTATCTTCGTATCACGGACTGGGACAAAATATTGTTCTATGATATCACACAGAGGGAAACGAACGGGAAAGAGAGAAAGACTGTTCTTATCATTGCCTCTCGTTCTAGCAGAGGTCTTATCATAATTCATAATAATATGTTTAAACAACACAGTCGGCTCTCGATAATATTCCGAGTCGGTGGGTGTTATGATCAATTTTGAATTACCGAGAGTTCGAATTGCCGAGTCGTTGGAAATATCAAGAGCGCAAAAAACATTCGAATGTATACACGAACAATTGTAAGGTCAATGTTATTAACGATAAGATTATGAGAAATACATTTTGGTGAATATGCTTCGAATTGCCGAGCGTTGAACTTCGAATTCTCGTGTGTTGACGGCTAGTTTTCCCTAATATTTTACTACGAATTACCGAGTAATGGGTTAACTTAAATGCATTGCTTCAATTCGAATTACTGCGAGATTTTCCAGGGAACGAGCCATTTCTTCGAATTACTGGAAGTTTCGAACTATCGAAATCTGCGTTTACACGTGAGCAAAAGCACGGTCGAGCCTTAGTGAGGGCGAGCAAAACATGAGCACTGTGCGCATTGTGTAAACACTTAGTCGAGCTGCCCGGAGCCGCTCTAACTGGCTCAAAATTGTTCACAAGAATTAAATTCAGTTGATAGTTGTAATCATCGCAGGTGCCACATTCATAATTTTGAATTCACTTATCAAAAAAAAACAAAAAAGACGTTGGTGGATCACTCAATTGTTTAAGAACAGGGATGAACATGGTGGACTAAGTTTAATTAATGATTTACTGTTTCAAGAGAGTGGACAGTTTGAAAATTTCGTTCGCATGGCTTATTCTGATTTCAAGTATTTAGTATCACTGATTCGTCCACAAGTCGAAAAACAAACCACGCATTGGAGGAAACCCATAACTGTAGAGGAAAGATTAGCCGTGACTTTACGTTTTCTGGCCACCGGGGACTCGTATACTAGTCTACAATACACATTCAAAATCTCAAAGTCTACAATATCTAGTATCATACCAGAAGTATGCATTGCATTAACAAAAGAACTGTCAGACACGATTTTCTATAAATATCAATAACATTTTATTTGTTGGGTAAAAATTCTTGAAAATTTAATAGAAGGCTCCTAATATATTGTTTCAAAGGTAGATGAAAAATATTTAAAATACATAGGCACAATTTTTTTTATAATCATTTAAAGTTAAAATTTAAATGAAATTTATCAAATTGAGTATTTACAAATTATTTAGTAGTTAAAAAATTATAAAATGTTCAACTTTTATAGCTAAAGATTAAAAATTTAAAACAAGGTTCCACGTAATTAGGTTATATATAAATCACTTTATTCACAATAATATCATCAAATATACTTAGTAATATAAATATATCATAGGCTGACTGACCGTCTTCGCTCAGAATCGTTTTTCGTGTACAATGATATTATATCATTGAATTCAAATTTAATACCATCCATTATACAGTGACCTACTTGTAACCTACTGTACAGCAGAGCGACATCAACTTGCCCACCTTTTTTTTTTGTTGCATATTTTAGTATTTTTAGTGCATATTAAGCGCTTATAACAACCTTTTTTAGAGCTATAACTTATTAGCCTTGATTATTATTAATGATATTTTTTTTGAAACTATAATTACAGTCAATATAAATGTATTGTATAAAATGTAATATAAACATATTAGGTATATAATATAATATATATTAATATTTATATATGTGATTTCATGTATACGGATATATATAACAAATACAATTTAAGTACATACCTATAATATTAATATTTAATATATTATAATTATCAGTCACATAAAATGTGCATATTAATTAATTGTACACACTTTAAAATCAATTTTAATTTATATAATATATTAATATGTGCAAGTAAAAATATATAAAAAAAAAAATAGAAGCCTTTGGTTAAAAAAACTAATATAGTAATATGTTATATATTATTTTATTGGTGTATACCTATACTATACCGTCCATACAGTTCATAATGTTGTGTTTAATCAGATACGTAATTAATACGTAACTATTACATATTATTTTTGTAAATAATTGTATTATAAATAATAATTTTATTAATTGTTGAAAATTACAAACAAACAAAAAGGTGCTCTGCTGTACAGTAGGTTACAAGTGGGTCACTGTATAGTGGATGGTATTAAATTTGAATTCAATGATATAATATCATTGTATGAGAAAAACGATTCTGAGCGGAGACGGTATGTCAGTCTAGGTATAAGACATATGATATACTAATCTAAGGTATTAAAAAATATTGACCTATAATAGGTAGTTACCTATAATAAATTCCAAATTAATCATAGCACAATATCCATTAGGATAACTTATAACGCGTTATACATCAACAACAAACCCTGATACTATCATAGATGTATAATAGTGTACTTTAGAAGTTTCAAGTACCCACGAATGATATTATACAATCACAACAAAATAACTAAAATAGTTATTCTAGGTTTTTTATTATGTAATTTCGTCCAAATTTAAAATTAAAATGACTATAAAAATAAACTGTGATTATGTATTTTTTAGATTTTTTTGGTAACAGAATTAACTACTTACGTTTAATCTTGTTTTAAATTTTCAATCCTTAGATATAAAAGTTGAACATTTTATACATTTTTAACTACAAAATAATTGTTCAATTTTAAATTTGATAAATTTTGTCAAAATTCGATGTTTAAATGCTTATAAAAAAAAAATTGTGCCTATGTATTTTTAATATTTTTCAACTGATATTGTTACAATATATCAGGAGCCTTGTATTAAATTTTTATACTTTTTGGCCCAACAGATAAAACTTTATTGATATTTATAGAAAAAAAAAATTATGAAATTGAAGACTGAAAACGTCAGTAAACAGCTCAAAAAGAGTCAAAATTGTATGGTGTATAGAAAATGCTAATTTAACATTCAGTGAAATTTTCATGTATCTACATTATTCGTTATTGAATTACAACAAAATAAGGAAATCGCTACTCGAGAAATCGAGTGAATATCCTGCAATGTTGTAGAAATTTGAATTTCAAACCCTCATAAAAATTTAATTTGACTTTCCGGTAGAGATTTTTCATTGATAAAGGTAGACAAACTTATGAGTTATCTTGTATTACATTTTCAAATCTTAGATTTAAAAAGAAAAATTTTTACGAATTCTTAACTCAAAATAATTTGCTAATTTTCGTGATTTTTCCATATTTTGTCAATTTTTGAACTTTCAACGCTTATAAAAAAAAACTGTGACTAACGATTTTTAATATTTTTCATTTGCCTTTGAAACAATATACTAGGAGCCTTCTATTAAATTGTAAAGCTTTTTTATCCAACGAATAAAATTGTATTGATATTTTTAGAATAAAAACTAAAAAAATATGGAAAATGAAAATGTCCCTAAACAGTTCAAAATAAATCAAAATATTTTGAAAATGTTATCGTGTATAGAAAATTCATATATAAAGAACCAGTGAAAATTACATGTATATACGTTCATTTGTTTTTGGGTTACACCAAATTCCAAATTTTTTGGAAAACAGATTTTGCGTAAAAATTCCCGTTTTTCCCTAATTTTTATGTGGTTTTTCCCGGTGCTTGTGAAAACTATTGGGAATTTTAACCCCTCCAATGCACCAACGATATTCACTTTCCTATCAGAAAAGATACTGTTGAAGAAAATCGAAGCATTATTTCGACCACTTATCTTGTACACAGACACAAAAATAAAAAAATAAAAAAACACACATCATTGTAAAGTCAATACATTCAACGTTTCACTCAGAATCAAAAAAATAAAAATACTGTACAAACACTAAGTTTAGAAGACTTCGTCAGGAAAACTATATTAACTATACCTATTATTTGTATTATTATAATAATAATCACACATTACCATATTATTCTAAATATTAATTAATTAATTAATTAACTTGAATAATTGTATATCTATTTATGTTCTACATTAAGAAATCTCTATAGGTACCTATATTAATATATTACATTTATTTTAAACTATTATTACAATATCAACTTAAAACTTACATTTATGGTTTTCCTCGGTTCGTCTTATAATATACTTATTTGATCAAAATATAAAATAACTTTTATACTTATACTATAATAAATTATGATATTACTATATTAGTGCACACTTGCCAATGTTAGCAATGTATGTACCTACTTATTATTTAGTTAATTTAATGTAGGTAATAACTAATAACTATAAAATAAATTAATATAATAAGTAGTTATTAATTGGTTACATATGACATATCTCCATCATCGTATCATATATAAATTCAATAGATACATCCGTATACAATTATATAATTGCTATGCTCGACGAAGTTTTTTTAAATAAAATACCTAATAATAATTAAATACAGAAGCACTGGATTTGGCTCAGGAACGTGAAAAAGCCGTTCGAATATGACGAACGAATTTGGCTCAAATATTAATTAAATCCT